TACCTTTAAATAGTCATTACCTTTATCCTGGATGGATAATAGATCTTATTTCTACAGTATTTTTTTCCTCCGTCACCATTTTACACTTTGTGTGAAGTCCTAAAGTAAAAAAAAGTACAAGGATTGAGTCACCATTTCTAAGAACTCTGAGACACCTAGGAAAGTCTCAAGATCTAGAGCCAGGATTAGCTTTTAAGAGTAAGACAGTAAGCCAATTACATAACCTTGGGAGAATTTGGAAATGTAGTTGCCTGTGCAAGTGACTTGAAGAAGACCTTGGTGAACTTTGGGATGTATGAAGCTTCTTGGATGATGAATAGTTAGAGTGAAAGGAACACCAGGTTTGGAAGTAGACTTCAAAACCAAATGTAGTCATTTTCATGTTTTCCTTAGAATTAGTCCTATAGAGTAGAAAAGGAAAATTTTCAGAAGAATCTGATTTAGATCCTTGTGAACTTGACAGTGATAGATTCATGTCCACTGATTCTTACAGCAAGATGCAGCTTCTACACTATATCATCTTGCAGTAATTTCAGGTGATTTTCCTAAAGAATTTATGGTTGGATTCCAGAAACTGTCCGACACTGGAATGATTTTGCTTTCTATGAGAAGCGTCTTTGTGACTGTGAGCATTTATTTAATCGCTTGTGTTATATTATAGTTTGTAATGACTTTAGGTTATGTGTGAAAGACACCAAAAATCAAGCAAAACACCTGAGGTGTGACATGGGATGATCAAGGTAATATGTAAAATCCAACGATAAGGTTAATGAATAAGACTGAAAAGGAGGAAGATGCTTTAATCTGCTCCTTTCGACCCAGTGACTAAATGAATTCTAAGACACTTTGACAAAAATTTTAATAGAACTAGATATTTCTCTGTTTTTATGAGAGTATAAGCCATACAAATAAAATGTAGAGATAAAAATTTTAAATGTCTCTAAACTCCACAGAAACCTGTTATGAATTAAAGATTTCTAGCAAAACTAGTCAAAACAAGAAAATATGAATATACTCCCCAATTAAAAGATGATTAGAAGAATAATAATGTGTTTGTGGGAGACAGGCAAAGGGTGTGGAGTGAAATTAGAGAGCCCTTCAATGAGCAAGACAGCTGTGGTAGAGCTGAATGCTGATGAGCTGAGGTAAGTGCTAAAGATCAACATTTTCAGTCAGTCAATAAACAGAGGCTCTTCCCTTAAAGACACCATCAAGGAGAATGTAGAATTCAGCAAGTCTGGAAAAGCTTTTGATAGCTTACTCATTGTTAGATTAAATTACTTTAGAAAAATTCTAGCTTTGTACAGTATCTTAAACACTCTTCCACACCAATTCTGTTTCATAGTGTGATTCTCCCCTGTTTACAGTTGCCTGCTACGCTCCCATCCACAACTGTGGGTCCTCAGTTAATCACCAATATGACACATCCAACTGTGTTCTTCAAACTCTAGTTTTAAAAAAATCACTTTTTCTCCCAAAATTAGATCCTTTAAATTTAATTTTAGTTTCCTGTTTAAAACATATTCCTGAGGCTGGTGAGCTGGCTCAACAGCGAAGAGCTGCTCTTGCAGAGGACCTGGGTTCCAGTCCCAGCACCCACATAGCAGTTTAACAATCTGTAACTGCAGTTCCAGGGATTCCAAAGCCCTCTCCTGACCTCCATGGGCATTGCACAACACAAGTGCATTTATATACATGCAGGAAATACACTCATACACATAAAATAAATATAATAAATAAAATATTAAAAATGAAAATA